TAAAAAGTCGTTAATTATTTATTTTTTTCCGTTCCACTACAAAGCTCGATTCACTTAAATTTTTGTTTTTATATCGTCTCTACAGCGCTTTTACGTCGGTACTTTCGTGTTAGAGGACATCACATAATGTGCGAAAAAAAAAAACAACAAAAAAAAAACGGTAGGATCGATGCTGCATAGCCTTTTTTTTTTTTTGTGGACATCAAGAAAAAAAAAAAAAAGATAGTAGTTGTCTTCACTTCGCACTGCATGTTTTAGCACGGAAGTTCCTATTTGGTTATGATGTCTTTACTTTCTTAAAAATTGTATACAGCAATTTAAATTACCGAATTACAAAAACATCGAAATTGTAGAATTGCTTTTCGTTGGGACGCCATGACGACAGCGACACTCGTGTTCCCTCGTGGTTTTCGTCAGCATTTCTACGATGAATTGCCAGGATCGCGAGATGCAACAGCGTGACACTCCGTCTTCTGTGACTTCATTTGTTGCACTTCGGGACCACTTTTGATGTATGGCCAGCATAAGACGCTAAACACACCAGTCGGAGACGCGCTGCAGCGGCCATAGTACAGCTCCTAAAAGTAGCTGTCACGTGCTTTGCTCCGCGACTGTGATTCCCTCACAGCAGCTCTGACTGAGGGTTGCCAAATTACGGTCAAACGGAGTATAGACAAAACGGACCGGAAACGAGCTGCCAGCATACGATAGTCAAACTCCAACAAAAAGGATTAGTTTCTTCCCAAGCTGGACGACATTTACCGGGCATCTTTAGAGCTGCGAAGCTCAAAATCACGCGTACTCATAATATTTTTTTTTCTCGCGTGTTTGTGATTTTTATGATGTCCTGCAAGCAAGAAAAAAATATATATGGTGAAGTCACTCCGAGGGGGTACCGATAACTGCGAGCCACGAACATGAAGGATTCGCTAACATCCGTCAGGAGTGTGAACGGTAAATCGTCACGCAAACATATTCTCACAAGCTGCAAATATTTATTTGACTTAGCAAGTAGAATACTAGTATACTAACGACATGTGATTATTGTACACAAGATACCATTTCTCGGTTCTTCAAAACCATTTCCCTAGTCTGAACGGTCGCGCTACGGGCCGCGGCTAGCCGTGCCCTCGATAGACTACGGAGCTGCGTTGTGTCGTCTGCTACTGTACCGCCAACAGGAGAGCGATAGCTCTGTGTGCTCCACAGATGCGTGTTGCGGTATAACTCTGTACGTCTGTCCTAGAGGAAGACAAAAAGATAGGCTCTGTGACCCCCTCCTAAGCTAACAAAAACAAACAGAAGTATACTCGTTTGGACTGAAGGGTTTACAAAATAGTGACCAGGCATTGGAAAAGCATATGTCACAGAACTTGGTTTATGAAATGGCATCATTGTTTCGAGCAAGAAATCACCTGCTCACCACTGGGACGATGAAATCGTCACTATTTATTGCGTCAGGTATATTTGCGCTCATGAAGAAAAATCTGAACACGTCCTTCTCCCAAAGTCCTGTGTCGAATAATAAACACTTTTTTAAACATCTATGCACAAATAACTCATTTTTTTCTACACTTGTATATACACGTTAATTAAACAACGTCAAACCGCATTTTTGATTAGATCTTGATGTCTACACCAACTACATTCATATTTTTTAGGGCTTTATTGAACGATAACTTCAACTATAGTTAATGGAACACGATGGCTCGATCTCAACAAAAACCTCAACGTGCGAAGCTTCCACAGACGGTCGCTTGCGAGTATTCTCAATGTGAGACTTCAGAAGCTTTCGCTTGCCATAGGGAGCTTGCTTTCGACTACAGCACTGCACGGGCCCGGAAAGCGCGGAGCGCGCTGCTGTGGGGAGAGATTGACTTACAAGATGACGTGTTACGTGGTCACGTAAGATGGCGTCATTTCGTGCAGCGTGGTCACGTAAGATCACGTCATTTCGTGTAACGAGATCATGTAAGATGACGTGTTTGTGTCACGTGATCACGTAAGATGACGTCAGTTCGTATGAACTGACGTCACCTTACGACAACGCCAACAACATTAGTGCCGTCCGGAACCATTGACCTTAGAAACGCGCCTCTTCGCTTGAAGAGCTGATATGCGTTGATTGTTATTTGTTTCTTTTGCCTACTACAGACCATTCAAAAACTCGCCTTCTGGGTGCCACCAACTTCGTCTACTGGGCTGTAAAGCGCGTTCGAGCGTGCGCAATACCTCTCTAGGCCGAAAGATTGTACACTGAGTATGCGTTCACAGCTCAATGACTTAGGCATTTTTCTTCAGGATAAATGCTCCCACGAGAAGAGCGTAATGGATATGTGAATAGAATTGGAAATTTAAAATGTTCTTGTCCAATCGCATTTTTCTTTGGTTATCAACGCTTTTTAGCGTCATCACAAGACGCTCAACCCATAATACACTGGTGATTAAAAAATAAGCACCGAAAAACATGCACCGATTTTCGCTTAAAAATAAATACCGGAAAAAACATACCGTAATCATTACCCATGTCACCTTTTTGGGTGATATGTGAATTTCCAGAAGAACAGCGAGTTATCACCCTCCCTTAGGAATACCCTGACTACAGAGCAGGCGACCCGTTTTTCCCCGCGTTAGATTGCGGTGACCACGAACCGTACGGAGGTCGCAGGACGTCCGTGAAAAATAAAAAGGAGGAAAACAACGATCTACTCTGTGCACGCTTCATCCCCGATTTCCACGACCCCAAGGCCGAAGGACGTTTGTGTGAAGGATAACGATAAAATAAAACTTTGCGTAAAAAAAAGCCCGCTTTTAAAAGAAAAAAAAAGTAGAAACAAGCACAACGCGTTGACGGACCGCGAGGTTGTGGAACACCTCGCGATCCGCTTGCCACAGGACGGTTGTCTTCGACCCATAGCTCCAAGGTGAATTTGCCACTTGCGAAAACACGGAGACCTACCCAGCGAGAACCAGGAAGGCAAGACACGCACACTGACGCCTCGGCGTGCAGAATGAAACAGGATACGGGCGCGGAATACGGCCGCGGAAGAACACCTCGCACAGTGCCGATCCGGCCGATCTCCGAACGGACGATTTCGCATTTCGTGGACAGCGAGCGCCACCGCACGGGAGAGAGAGGTACCTTAAAAACGACGAAAACAAGCACCGACACCTTGGTTCTTTATATTTGCTGTAGTTAAGGAACAAATCGACTTACATGAATAATTTGAATATTATTCGATTCCGTAATAAATTTAGAAGACACTAAGCGCAATACCTCTTATGTTTGAATTTATTTAATTTTGTAAATTCGCTCCGAACGCAAGAGTGCCGAATTAGCCAATTTTGACCATTTTCATGATTTTTTAAAGAATATAATTAAATTTATGATGAAACATTTGTTGCGCTTAGTGTCTCGATAATGACTCAATGTCTTTAAAGCCGAAATTTTCAAGAAGATCCGCGCAGCCTTTATTATGTGAAAATTTTTTTTAGTTTGGTGAAAAACCTCATGTATTCTCTATGGGGCTCTCAGGTGCGCCCCCTCTTAACACCAAAAACAGGCAGGACGTAATCCAAGGAGAAGAAAAAATAACTGCACCTCGGGGGAGGGGCTACAAAGTCGCGAAATATTCTTCAGGGCCGAAGGGCTAACACTCCGCAGAGCACCCTTGCTCCGCCCTGAAAAACACTGAAGAACTGTGGCCAAAATCTCGAACCAATTTTTAACACATCAATTTAAAACGGACATAAAAATCTATCCCGAGACACCAGGATACAGGCGGCTAAAAACGAGGGCAGTTACGAACAAAAGTGGCCAAATTAGCCCACCAAAATGTTTAACCAAACAATTAAGGCTCCAATACATGCTGTGAAGGTGGTTAGACACCGAAGCTGTGGTATCACCTGCAACGATTGCCCGCTGCACTATAGACCCTCTTTATGGCAAACGCCACCAGATGGTACTGCAGGCCTTGATGTGCTACAGAACTTCCGGTTTATAAAAAGAATTAACAAAAAACACCTTAACAGCGCTGCTTGAAATGTAGATGAAACGTTAAACTACCAACTTTTCAGGTGAACGCCAAAAAAACGAAGTGCGAGATCTGTTAAAATTTTTTGAGTATTCTTGTAAACCAACTAGCCTCCTCCAATACGTTAAATTGTACAGCCGAGGGCCCTCGTTAAATCTTCAACTTTGACGTACGTGTAGCATTTATGCTTTCTAGCACTGGTGACATAAGCAAGCTCAACAGGCTTGCAAAGACTGTGCGACCGGAAGTCGCTTGGAAAGCAAGCGGCAATCCATGTTTGAAACAGCAAAAGGGTCTATACCAATTGATTGACGAAAGAAAAGTAAATGCAGTGTACCAAAACTTTTTTTATATAAGAAATACTTCATACTCTGCCGTTGCCGCGGCAGCTTATGTAACCCCAATCTTTACCGAGAAACGCAAGCGGGGAGCGCAACATGCTTTGCATCGTTAGCGAGGCTAGTGACGTCACTCCACACTTCGTACTCTGCCGTTTCCGCGGCAGCTTATGCAACCGCAATCTTTACCGAGAAACGCATGCGGGCAGCGCTACGTGCTTTTCATCGTTCGCGCGTGCCTTATAACCTATCACGTGGTTTTGACACTTCTTTTGTGTTTTTTTATTGAAACAGGTTTCAAAACCACATAATAAATGATAAGGCGCGCGCGTGGGTTTTCTGTCGACGGACACGAAAAAAAAACCACCTACGAGTCATATACAGCTTCACTGTAAAAGCCCTGACACGCGACCCCACACACTCAACTTCCTGACGCTAAGCTAAATACCCTAACCTAACTTAACCTAACATTGCTATCGTTTTTCGATACAGTAAACAACTACAACATGCACACTATAAATCAGAAGAAAATAAGAAATATACTTAACTTCGCAGCAGCTCCGGAAAACACGTCCGCATCATCCGCATAGCTAACGTTCTCCCCCGTTCTTTCTTTTTCTTCACGCAGACGAACGGCGAAAAGCGCGTGGCCGCGGCAAGCGTCAAGCAAAGCCTCGGAGGGTCAACCCTCCGAGTGCGGGAAGCCCCCGTTCTGAGCCCACGGATCTGCCGGCGGGCAGAGGAGCTACGACTGCCGTGGCTCGCTCGTCGCACGCCACGCAGACGCGACGCCGCCGCTGGTTGCGGGACTACGTCCACAGGATCGAAACTGGCCAGGCGGACAGGAGGGCTTGTCTGGTGCACAGTCTCGTGCAGTCCCGGAGACGGAACAAGCGGTCCGTCGCACCAGGCTTCCGAATCCACATATTCGCAAAGGTAAAAAACGCGCAACACTCAAGAAAAACAAAAAAACATGTCTTTAAAGGTTAACGATAGTGCTTCCGATGTTCAAGTTTTCACCTTCGGAGATTCGACACGCTCGCATTGCAAACAGCATGCTGTGCCTCACTTGCTGCTTACCCACTAGAGAAAATGTCCTGATGCAATGGGTTCAGTAAACTTAGGCTCGGAACAGCAGTGGCGGCATGGCCTTGAGAGCCACCTCCCTAGAGATGGCGCCCATGATTACGTCAATGAAAGCCACCCTTAGGGAGGAGACACCCAGCGGGTCGGGACGGGCAGCCTAGTCGGCAGACTGCCCTCATATGTCACACGGATGCACCACAAGCAGTACAGCCTCTTCCTTGACATATTTACAAAACTACGGGGGGCGCCATGTCCAGCTTGTTTCCCCAGAGTTCTGTGTTTACCAACACAAGGCACGCGCACTGGATTCTTTACTTCGTCTCGCTTGATTGCGCGCGGGACATAGATTGGGTATGACCATAGCTTCTCTACTGACAAAGCCTGGCAGATCGCCACAAGAGGCGGCCGCCGAAATTGAAAAGATAGAGCGCCAGACAACGGAGGACGGGAGAGCCACGTGACGGGGCCCCGCTGCGGCGAGACGCCGAAACACACTTCTCCTAAGCCATGGAATGTCCGCCCGTGCTCCTCGCATTCCTCGCGCTACTGCCTCTTTTCTCGTCAGGCTTGAAAACCATGTTTCGGGTCCTCGCCGCTGCAAAAGCTGTGCGCTGACGTCCAGGTTCCCCGAGAAATGCTCTGTGCCACCAAATCCTCGCGCTCCAAATCTGCGACCGGGCACTCTATGGCTCCGTCGTCCAACTTCCAGTCTCTGTGAGTATAGAGGAGGCTAGGGTACAACTCGTCTCCAGTTACTCCCTTTCCCTTCCCCCGCTCAGTCGAGAATTATGAAGTAAAAAAAAATTCCCGAGTGCTGCGTGCGTGTTCGAATTCACTCACTAAACACGAGCCGAAAACTGACGCAACGCTCGGCTACGTGCGCCTAGCGCTGCGTCAAAACACAAGCAAATCATCTATGTTGTTGTTGTCCCATCGTAGTAGTTCTCAGTTTAGCCACTAGGGGTGCGACGGTTGGATCTCCTTCCCAATGGGCCAGCACGCTGTTTCCAAACAAGCCTCCGCAAGGTGTGGGCAACGCGCAGTTCCCACACGAGGTGTGACCACTGCGCGTGCGCAGGAACCAGAGTCGTGTGTAGTGGAGTGTTTGCGCCCAGCGAACAGCAGCGCCACTGCAGTGGCGTGAAGTCAGTTCCGCCTCTTGGTGTATACCCATTTGGAGAATCAAGGGCCGGACATATCTACGACAAAACTTCCCAAGGATTGCACGAGGAGTTGTAAAGTAGGATGAATCGTAACTTCGGAGATTTCCCGTGGCACCGCGAATATTGACCTCCAAGATACCCAGCGCGCAAAGTACTACGAGTATAATCCCCTTTCACGCGGGTGTCCAGTCAGCAATCTCAGAGGTTATGATTCTGGGTGCTTTGCGCACCGGGAATCTTTGAGATCATAATTGGGACATATTTCCGATCTGTCGTGAGACCCGTCGGAGGTCTTGACACCTCAGACTCGTCCTCGTCCGGAATCTGAGGTGTCAGGCACGTCTAACACCTCAGACTCGGAGTGCTTAGGAGCAGATGCCTTTCAGAGCTAAATATTGCACAAAATTACCTGGTGTTGCTTCCTAACAGTACTCGGCAAACCTATGGAACCGTGTCACCCACGCACGGATGTGCAGACCTGGATCGCTAGGTTGGACATTTGAGAAAAGGTACATGGAAGTGACGTAATGCAAAGGAGGAGCGTATCCTAGCAACACTCACGTGGCGGCTCTGCCCACTTTGACGCCGCTACGTCATCGCAAACTTCACACCCGTCACCCGTTTCAGCGACGTCCGGAGCCAACCACCGACGGGCCGAAGTAGCTACGCATTCCCTGAGGCGTCCCTACGCGCGGGATACGGGGTAGGATTTACTACGACGCGGGGAGCAGTTCCTGCGTTTAGCGAAGGAACGGCAACCAATCCTTTGCGTCGCTGGCCGTCGCATCTGTTCTAGTACAGGTAAAAGTATTGAAAAACAATCAAAACCTTTTGGGCGTTGTTTAAACAAATCGCTTTTTTGTACCCTTTTGCAATACATTTAAGAATTAATTGGAGAGAAAGTTGTTCCAATATTATGCGGGATGTGCGCTACGCGCCTTCTTCAAACCAAAATGTCGAACCACGAGGAGCCGGGTGTGCCGGGGGCAGCGGAGGGGTCGGCGGAACCAACGGGGAGCGCGCGAGTGACGGCTGCTTTAGTCAGAAACAATTTTTTTATCTTTCGAGAACTTGCTATTGCTGTGCTCAAATAAGAATGTTTGGCGCAACATCTGTGATAATTCTTTCAAAGTGGTCCAGTGTTTATATGGTGGTATGCTAGTCAGAGAATATATATATATATATTTTTTTCCTTTCGAAATTTAACTATTGTGCTCAAATAAGACCACAGTGTTCAACAAGATATCTGTGATATATACTTAAGATTGCCCAATTGCTTACATGGTTCCAGTCGATGCTCAGTTTTACTTCCAAGAATGAAATATTACATTCCATGTTATCACACTTTTATTCATGAAGTCACAGGTTTTTCTTTAAAAATAAAGCAATTTTCAAAACAAACTACATGTGCACTGTCTTGAGATAACACAATCACCTAACTTTGATGAAGTACCATAAAAGAGATAATAAAATGGAGCAGAAGGCAAGACGCTTTGAAGCATTTGTAAAATGAAACAATGTCCGTGACAACAATATCCCTGGTTCAATCAGCAACTAAGAAAGCAATCTCTGCAAAAGCAAGCATTTCTTTCTAGAGGTAGTCTAAATTACTTCTGAGTTCTTTGCAGGGGCAATCCAGATGACCTGTTCGTCTGGCAACTAAACCTCCGAACCTTTTCTGTCACTGTCGACCCATAATAAGCTCATAAAAATAAAAAAGGCTGTATCGATTTCACCGCGATGCACTCGACACGTCTCCGGAGGCAGCACGCTGGCCGTGGGACGAACTTCACAAGGTGTAGGAGCTGAAGAGAGTATGTAGCTTGTGGACGGCCATGACTGTGGAGCAGGAAGCGAAGTGTGCACTTTACGGCTTCCACGGGGAGGGCTTCACTGAGGACAAGGATGTGACGGGGTCCTTGGTGGTCAGGACGTCAGTCGTGGTGGCGAGAGGTTCCCTGTCGCTGGCGGCGTCCGTGCTGGGCACCACCGCAGCGAGGGCGCTGAGGGGCTTCCCGACGGTGTCCCTGGTGGTCGGGACTACCGTCGTGGCGGCGGACCCCTTGTGTGTGGCGCTCCGCACGGGCACGTCTGCGGCGGGTTCCGAACCGGGCGACAAGGTGCTGCCTCAGAGCCTTCCCCCTGTCCGAGAGGCCGACCGGAAGGCCGACCGGAGGGCCGGCAGGAGCCAGCCTCTCGGGAGCCGACGCTGACGTCTCCGAGCTCGGCTCAGAACCGTCCGAGCTCGGCTCAGACTCCAACTCTGACTCTTCAGGGTCGGAGTCTGACTCCGGTTCTGGCTCGCTCGATGCAAGGCAGATGTTGTGGAGCACTGCACATGCCGAGATAATGGCGGTGGCTGTTGAAGGGTGGTAATACAGAGCCCGGTGCCTTTGCAGACACCGGAATCTGTTTTTCAACAGCCCGATGCAGCGCTCCACAACAGACCTGATCGAGGAATGCGCCTTATTAAACCGGCCGCAAGCGGTGGAGGTCGCGTGGTTCCCGGGGACAGGGGTGATGAGCCAAGGCTCCAAGGGGTAGCCGCTGTCACCTGCATATGTAGAGGATGGAACATATTACATTCTTCACTTTTTAAAATAAAAGGCAAGAAAACAGCTGTGTGCAACTATGTCAATTATAATGTAACTTAAGTGTGACTTAAAAGTGTTTTAATATTTCTGCACTACAATATCAGTTTACATTATGATTAATTAGCACCAGCTTGCCTGCAAACTCCCTGTTATTTCATGTAACTATGTGTTTTCCTGGTGGGTTGTATGGGATGTGTGCACGATTCCTTAGGGGTGCTGTGTTGTATGCAAGTGCATTATTAGGCCCTTGCATCCGACAGATAAAAGCTCTGTTGCTTTTGGGAGTGTGGCCGTGACCTTAGGCACGGGCGGAGCAGAACACGCTGGCCTTGTCTTTGGCAAGCAAGGGGATAAGGCGCCAGTTCGACGAACCTCTTTCCTAATCCTCGGTGGAGTTGGAGATGGGGAAAAGAGAGGGGGTGGTTAGAATGGAAAGGAGTCAGGTCCTGTTGGGACACGGAGGGTCTAATAGGAGGAGCTATATAGGCAGACCGAAGAAGAAGGGTCAGGGAAAAGAATCCAGTCTGTGGGACAGAGAACACCCGAGGACAGATTTGGCGAGCCCCAAGTGGCCAAGGAGGAATTGATCCCATTCCGTACAAACTGACTCAAAGCGACCAGGCGAGCTCCCAGGGATCGGCGAAAGAGCTCCAACTTCATACAAAAACCAACCAGCAAGAGGGTACAGGCAGACAGTAACCGTGAGTGGGCCGAACTGGACAGCGACTCGCACTGCGGTTGCATGCCTTGCGCAGTCTATCACTGTCGTGAGATTGGTGTAGTGTGGCTTTCGTAGCCTGCAGAGTGTGAGAGTTATGTGGACATAAACAGAGGTTAATGGCCAAACTTTGGGTGTTGTCTCACTTCAAGGAGTTCCAGCAACTGTGTCTGTGTGCCTCACAACAAGCACAGTATGTGTGGTACTGTGGCTTTCAAGCAGTGGGAGCCACCGTGTGCGTAAGGAATGAATTTAGTATGCTCACCAAGCAGGAACCGGCCGTCGCGTGGCACCTGCCCTTGCTCGAGTTGGTTTCGGAGCCAGGAAAATTGCCACACGAAGGAGTCGTGCACCGACCCGGGATGCAGTGGGTCGATGCACATTATCCGGCAGTCGGCGTCACACACCTGAAAGTGAGAGAGATATTGACATGTAATTACCTGAATCCACAAGTAGTAGATTGTACTTATGGTTCACAAAGCAGTCGCAATTTCAGAACCTTTTAAGTTATTTTGTCTGACATGCATGTCAACACACCTTCCTGGATGCAAGGTACAACTAACTACCTTGAAACAAAAATAATGTGTTTTTTTTTTACGGAAGCTTGCACGTTTTAACAGACAAGTATTATTTTTGGGAGAAGAGTCTCACGGCTCACATGCTACGTAGAGCACACGCTCGCGCAGTCGTGAGACCCCACAGCCCGCAGTCATAAAACGGCATACTTAAACCGTATCGGCAATACGTTTTTTTTTTTTCTACAGATTTGGGGCGCGTTTTGACAACGTAACATGAGTGTACTTACCACCATCACGTTGAGGGCGTAGAAGTACTTGCGGCACCAGTACGCCGCCTTCGTGACGGTGGGGTCGTTCTTGGACGGGCCGACGATGGAGACCATGGTCCCGTCCACGCAACCGATGACGCCGGGTATCCTGCCGAGCAGCCTGAAGCCATTCTCCGCGTCGAACCTCTCCCTCGGCGTCTCGGGGAAGTGGATCCAGCCACGCTGGACCCCGAGACGACGCACGATAGCGACGGACACGGCGCGGACCGCAACGCTGACTGTCTTTTGGACCCGCGCTACGTGTTCGTCGCTCGCCACCGTGCCTTGGAAGCTCCCCGTGCCGTAGAAGCGCAGTGCACACAACACTTGAAGCTCCACAGTCATGACGTGGTACGCACTCTCCTCACCTCCGGTTCCTCGCGAAGTTCGTCGCACAACCACCGCACCACGATCTTGGGCAGGCGGTATTGCTTCCGAAAGATCTCCTCCGGGAGCTCGAATGCATCGCGTGTTCCCGATACAGCCTTTCTGGCGAAAAAAAAAGCTCTATTAAAGAAAAAGTCGAAGTGACGAGACGGCGACACCTCGCCGCCGGAAACGTGCTGCCAATGACACCTAGTTCCGAGCAAGTACTATCGGGGAAAAATGAAATGCGAACAGAGGAGCGCGTGGCTCGCGGTACAGGCTGCGCCGCCTGGAAGTGAACCTAGGGGCGAGGGTGCGTGGCCTACTTCGATGTGTTCACGCCCCTCCCACTGCGCTCCCCAAGCTTCAGCAGTGCGCCTCTCGGTGCGCTGAAAGCTGTCACCGCTATCTTTGCCTGCTCGGCGAGTGCGGCGAGCTTCTTTGCACCGCACGCGCTGAGCCAGCAAAGATAGAGCTGATAGCTTTCAGCGCACTAAGAGGAGCACTGCTGAAGCTTGGGGAGCGCAGAGGGAGGGGCGTGAACACGTCGGAGTAGGCCACGCACCCTCGCCCCTAGGTTCACTTCCAGGCGGCGCAGCCTGTACCGCGAGCCACGCGCTCCTCTGTTCGCATTTCATTTTTCCCCGATAGTACCTTTTGAAACGTACTCGGTACAAAACGAAACGTCATTTTGTTGTCACGTCCGGTAGCCGACTCCGCCCAGTTTTGCCGACTCCGCCCACATTTTTCTAGGGAAATTACGTCACTTTTGTTTCCAACCAATCAGACGTGATGACGTCACTTCCGTGTACTAAAAAAAGGTACATGTACAATGTCGAACCTAGCTATCCAGCTCTGCAATTGTGCAAGAGATCGAACGATAGGGGGCGCTTGGTCCAGCTTGTTTTCACCGGAGTTGTGTATTTACCAACACAAGGCATCTCAAAAGCAGCGCAAGGTGCGTCGATGCACGAGGCATGTGCAACGTGAAGTCCTTGGGAAGATCATGGCGCCACAGCACAGCACTGAGCTAGATTTCAGACGCCATGTTCTTCCCAGAAGTGGCGCGCGGCATGTGTCTCGAGCATTTTCGCAACAATGAATGGCGCCACTTTTCCCCAGGATAAAGGGGCTTTAGGCCAACGTTACTGAAGCAAGCTCAGTTTCACAGCTTTGCCTGCGACGTGGGCTCAGTGGCGGTCACGAGAACTAGCAGCGCTGCAGTCGAGTCTTAATTTCGGATTGTCTAGCCCGCGAAGCTTCAATAGCAATACTTGAGATTGGGCGAGTTGGCAATTCATACTAACACTTCACAGCGCAAGGAAACAGGCGCACACAAATATACATTTCAAACACTCAAAGAAAGAACACTCACAAAGCGCTGACTCTGATCTCTGTGGTGTATTACAGTTCATCTTCATCATCTTTTGTTGCTATTATACACATGGAAGTAAAAAAAACAAGAAAGAAAAGAAAAAAGAAAAGGAAGCTCTTAACGCGGTGGTAGTAGACGACCCGCGAGACAGGAAACCAAGATCCGACTGCAGCGCCGCTAGTTCTCGTGACCACCACCTGGGCCACTCGCCTCTGCAGGCGAAAATAGGGAGCTGCGAAACTGAGCTTGCTCCAGTAACGTTGCTTTAGGCATGTCCAGTGAAACTTACTCTTTCTCGATTGAGCGTGGGACAAAGATTGGGCAGGACTCGTGGACAATTTTCCCCGTGCTTAGTCGAGAAAGATGAGGTGAAAAAAGTTGTCAGCATGTTTATACAGCCTAGAACTTAGTCTGCCTCAACGGGCGACTTGTGTCCCAGCTGTAGATGAAAAATTTAGCCGGTGCAGTACAACCGCTAGCCTGGGGTCTTTAACGTGCAGCACGCAGTAGTGGTACACGACCGCGCGCCGGTACGATGGTCATCCAGATCGAAACGGGCAGGGGTGATTGAACCCAGGATCCCTGGGCTCTGCAGCGCGAGCTTTCGCTCCACGTGCTTCGAGCTGGTGTGCGCTAGCCCACTCTGCCACCGATCGCCCTAAAGTCCGCGGATTGATTTTATAGCCTTTGCCCACGTGATACACAAGTTTCCTATAGGTCCGTAGGCACGCGCCTGAGTTTTGCTAGTATTGGTTGCTATTTCAGCCAGGGACATGGAGAACTTCGTATCCCAGAAACGGTGGCGTCACAGCTTTTAAAAGCACTTGCCTGCGGATCAGCCTGTCGTATGAATACAGCTTCAAAGTTGCTCCGCCACCGAAAGCTTCAGGTCTCCCCCCCCCCCCCCCCCCCCTCCCTCTCCCTTCAGTTTTTTTTTTTTTTCGCCGCTTTTTTTTTGGCGGCGAAGTGTTTTGATGGTGCCTACCTGTGGTTCCCTCTTGTGACGTCATTACCTCCCGAACAACAATTTTGATGGTGTTTGTAATGCCCGAGTCCCACTAGAGCGACAAACAGAACCACCCGACAGCGCCAAGCCTCAAACACGTGCAACGTGCACGCGAGGGTGCCTTCGGCAGGCTTGCAATCACCTGTGCTTACTTCACGAGCACCGAGACTGCAAGCCTGCCAAAGGTACTGTCGCGTGCATGCAGCACGTGTTTAAGGCCTGTCGCTGTCGGTTGTTTCTGTTTGTCGCTCCGTCGGGACTCGGGCATAATGAGCAAGGTGTAAGCTTGAAATCATTGCGCTCTCAAAGCAACACTGCCAACACCATAAAATTAAAGCTCTTACATTTCTTTTATTTACGTCGATGACAAATCCTTCGCTGAAGTGGGTCCATATCACAAGAGCGAATGACATTTTAGCGAACGGCGACATTTGAGCGAATGGTCGTTTTAGCGAATAACTGGGGCGCGCGTTAACCCATCCGTCGCGCTGCGCTTTAAGCCGCTTCGCGGCGACAGTCTGCGGCAACTCATTACAAAAATATGAACTCACTTGGCCCACCCGAAAACGCCGCTTCGCGGCGTCCGACTCTTCGCTAAAAGGCCCGTTCACACATGCAGCGGAGCGCTACAAGCATAGCGCTAACCTCGCGTTAAGCGCGTGCTGACGGTAGCGTTCACCAGCTTTGGATCGCACCGTCGAAACTGTTGCTCATGGCATACGATAAGTAGCTGATGGCACGTGAGGAGCGCTACATCAGCGCTTCGCTGCATGTGAGAACCGGCCTAAAGTGTCATTCGATGAAACGTGGGCGTTCGCTAAAACGTCATTCGATCAAGTGAGTGCCTCCCCGCTGAAGTCATTATCAGCATTCGGCCCATCCTGGCGGGCCTTCCGCAGCGACGCTTTCGATCGCACACGTCGCCAAGGGAGTATTCACTGGCGGCCATAGCTGTGTGCACGACTGCAGAGCGCGTGCTGACGGCGACCTTCCCAAAAGTGGGTTTTGTCTTTGTTATACAGCCGAGAACTTGGTCTGCCTCACAGGGGCGACGAGTCTCCCAGCTGTAGATGAGCAATTTAGCCAGTGCAGTACAACCGCTAGCCTGGGGTCTTTAACGTGCACCACGCAGTAGTGATACACGACCGCACTCCGGCACGATGCTCATCCAGATCGGAACGGGCAGGGGTGGGGATTGAGCCCACCCTGGGTTCTGCAGCGCGAGCTTTTGCTCCACGTGCTCCGAGCTGGTGTGCGTTAGCCCACTCGGCCGCCGATCCCCCACGCGACCTTCCACAGCTCTTTTGCAGCGTACATTCCACCCCATCAAGATTACTGGTCATAGCAGAAAATTAATATGAACTTGTCCTGAGCCCGCGCTCTGAGAAGCTCGCTCAAATATGGCACCCAGTGAATACCCCCTTTAAAGAAAGGCAGAGCATGTTGTGGTTTTTCGCTTCGTGATTTGTTCTTCCTGCCCGACAGATGGCACAATCTGATTAGCTGAGGAGCAATAATAAAATGCTCGGCCCTCGCCACGCCCTGCCTGTCAGTTACCAGAGTTTCGTCAAGTTTTGTGTGGAATTTCGAAAGCCCGCCGTCAAAGTATCTGCGGCTCTGAGTGTATCCGGGGCTTTATGGGGTTCCGGCCTCACGACCTCGGAACACATGGTATTATCCCACTTCTGGTGACAGGACGGTTTGTATCACGCAGGAAGTGGTAACGTGGAGGCTAATTGGCTCGGCGTTCAGCAATCAACTGACGGCGGCAACGCAGCGCGCCGCCATTGCCCTCGCCTTCCGTATGTGGGGAGAGGTGATCCCCGTCATGTTCGAGGAAGATCTGCGCTCAGCCGTCGACGACGTGGACATTCTCGTCGCCTTTGGTCGAGGTTGGTGCAGTCTGGCGGATATCTGCGTGACAGACGCGTTCTCAGCTGTCTGCCGTGCGGCAGACGGTTGAGCGCAGAGTCGACGTTTTTTGCGGACTCCTTGCGGATGGGTAACGAGACCCAGAAAATATTCTGGTTCAGATTTGCTATCTCGGAGCAGCTGTTGCTTTTCAGTGTGGTTATAAACTGGAAGATGAAATTCCCGCGCGGATTTGTAATTATAAACTCCTTGGGCAGGGACAAAACTCACATAAGCAGGGGAACGGGTGAGAAAGAAAACTTAAGTCTCGAATCCAGGCTGTGAAGCTGGTTAGACAGCGAAGCTGTGGTATCACCTGCAACGAATGCCCACTACACATTCAAATTAAGGGGGGAGTTATCAAGAGTGGTTGGATGCATGTATAAAATAGCAAACTTTATATCCAATTGCCTTACCAAAGACCTATATTGCTCATTGTTTAACTCTAGGCTCTGTTATCGAATTATGGTATGGGGAATAACCACGCCTACAAGGTATGATAATCTAATTATACTTTTAAAAAAGGTTACGCGAATTATGGGAGAACTTTCTCGGCAATATTCGCGAATTTCATAGCAGTCTTTGTTTTACTAAGCATAACATGCTCAAAGCAAATCAAATCTACTATTTCAAACCTATGCAGAAAATACATTAAAAAAAACTTTACCGAGTGGATGAATCTGTCTCACAACTTTATTGAGAAATAGTAAACGTAAAACTCCTAAAGTGCGTACAAACTTTGGAAAACAGAAATTTGATTATCAGATTCCTGCATTACTCAACACCATGGAAGATTACACTAATTTTACACAGTCATTTTATAAATACAAGAAAGAGATTAAACAAATACGTATAGACAAAGACATCAGTTACGCTTTGTAGAAATGTAATTATAATTATGGTTTTTATGGTTACCATGGGTCCTCCAAAGGACATGTCAATACCAAAACTGCTGAGTATTATTTGTTAATCGTGATGTATGAAACGTAATTTTCGTTTAATGTGTAGCATGAAATGTATTTTGCTTACACAGGTATGCATATTGAAGCATAAACTAATGCTACAAAGCTGTGCCACCTTTTGCACTTCTGTAAACGGCGGGGGGTAGAGGCCCAGTCAGGCAGAAATGCCTTTTGCCACTGCCTCCCTACCGGGCTTGGCTCGTGAAAACCCCAATAAACTTCAAACTATAGACCCTTTTTATGGCAAACACAAACAGGTGGTGCTCCACTCTTTGACGTCCCGGAGAACTTCCGGTTTTAAAGAAGAATGAACAAAGGCCACCTTAACACGTACCGCTTCTTGTAATATGCATGAAACGTTTAACCGCCGATTCTCCAGGTGAACGCTAAAAGAACGAAGGAATGCCAGATCTGTTAAAGTGTTTCAAAAATTCTTGTAAACCAACTCGCCTCCTCCAAGATGTAATATTATACAGCCGAAGGCCATCGTTAAATCTCCAACTTTGTTGTCCGTGCAGCATTTATGCTTTATAGCACTGGTGACATAAGCAAGCTCAACAGGCTTGCAAAGACGGTGCGACCGGAAGTCGCTTGGGACGGAAGTGGCATTTCATGATGTAAACAACAAAAGGGTCTACGCCAAATGATTGACGAAAGAAAAATAAATGCACTGCACCAAAACCTTCTTATATGGGAAATATTTCGTACGCTGCCGCTACCACAGCAGCTTATGCAACCCCCAAATTTACCGATAAACGTATCCGGGAGCGCTACGTGCTTCGCATTGTTAGCGGGGCTAGTGACGTCACTCCCCACTCCGTACTCTGCCGCTGCTGCGGCAGCTTCTCCAACCGCAATGTTTACCGAGAAACGCATGCGGGGAGCGCTACGTGCTTATCATCGTTCGCGTGCGCCTTATAATCTATCACGTGGTTTTGACACTTCTTTTGTGGTTTTGTTATTGAAACATGTGTCAAAACCACATGATAAATGATAAGACGTGCACGAACGGTGATAAGGCCGACGCGTGCGTTTTCTTTCAACGGACACGAAAAAATCCCACCTACGAGTCATATACAGCTTCGCTGTAAAAAATGCGAAGGGAAGGGGACATGATTGGTCACGGACTTCTGGATTTGTAGGGTTCACTTGGGAAGCTATTTTTCGTGGGGGAAAGTGAATGTTTCAGAACTGTCTTCAATGTGAAGATTACAAAATCTCCACTAAAATGAGCTACCCAAACGAGATCGACGGAAATGTTATTAAAAACGTCAACGAGTAAAAGTATATGGGGCTAACATTCACTGTGATCTTAACAGGAGTGTTCACACAGAATACCTAACTAGAAAAGTCATAACAAAACTGTGGTGTCTGCGAAGACGGCTAAAGTATGCATCACGCGACACTAAACTCCTGGCATATACAACACTAATTAGGCCTCTGCTTGAATATGCTTCTACTGTCGGATTTCCTTTTACAAAATCAACATTCATAAATTATATAGACAAACGGGTAAAAAAAAACAGCCCAGGGAAACGGACGCAGTAGAAGACAGAAGACAAACACGGCGCTGACTATACAACTCAGCTTTAATGGATCTGACAACGCGTATAAATACAAAATTTGCCCGAACCAAAACCAAAGAAGGGAATTAACAACACTTAAAGAGGCACTGACACAACAAAATCATTTTTTTTTTTTTTTTATTATCCGAAACGATTGAAAACGATTTCGGGATATTACCCTCAAAGTTTGAAACTTGGGAATTCAGTATTTGTGAAGTAAAAAAGCAATTCCCAAATGCCGAATTCGAAGTTCCCGCGCGATCCGCGCCGGTGCGTTTACGTCAAATATTGCGGAGTCCTGAGAGTCGAATTTGTTTCACGACTCCGTGCTGTTGCCATCGCGACCCAAAGCGAGGAGGAAAGGAGTGAGCGCCGGCGAACCGAAAAAAAGAAAAAAAAAAAAAACAGTTTTGAGCGGTATCACATGTTTTCCGAAGGAGGATACAAATCCCGGAGGCGGCAACACAACGGACTCCGATTTTCGGTATTTCAAAAAGAAGGGCCGTAGTGCGTTCGCAATTGCGTTAAAAAACATGGTTTACGATTGCCGTTATTAAATGTTATAGAAATGTCGCCTACAAAGCTTCTGAATTTCATGATTTTTGACGTCACGAATCAAAAGAAGCGAGGAGGCGAGGAGGGGCAGAGGAAAACGCCAAAAAGAAAAAGGCGCGCGCGCGCGTAGGAAAATTTTTTTTCGCGATGCGTTTTTTTTTTTTTTTTTTGTATCTGTGATTACAACTTGCATTGTTTTAGACATTGACAAAAAATACGACCCTTGGGGTGTCAGTGCCCCTTTAAGAACGACACGTGTTCCTAGAGTCATCTGCGCGCACTGCTGTTTTCCGATCTACAAAGAAACATGCTCTGTTTTACTGAAGGCCAGTGAGGGCGCACTAACACATTCTGACTTCGCTTGTCCGATAGCGCGCGCTTCTATAATCTCACGTCGCGTGAGCTTGTCCTTTTGTGCACTGATGACCGTGCATCTTTCAAAGGCTTTAGTACATCCGCAGCTATGGCAGTGCACACCAAGATGCCTTGGCACAACCGGTGGCAGATTGTACCGGTGCTCTCTTAACCGAACATTAAGACATCGTCCTGTCGACCCTATGTATCTGCAGCCGCACGAAAAGGGGATAGAATACACCACTTCCACAACGCATCATACAAACTGGTTTTGGTGTTTCTTAGTGCATAATCATTTTCCTCTTACATCAGAATTCACTTTTTTACACATCCTAGAATGTTTGTTGAGAGCTGAGAAGAACATTTGCCGTTCGCTTCATTACCAATAGGTTTAGCTTCTCTGAGTTACCTACAGAACTTAGTCACAGCCTAGGGATCCAGTCACTCGAAAAAGAGCAAGGCTCTCCAGAGTAAAATTATTATTCCAAGTTGCTAATAATATGACTAACATAGATAAGTCTAAGTAGTCTACTGCTAATGGTAAGAGAGAGACCCCCTCAAACCATGGGAAACTATTTCAAGAATTTCATTCCAAATATAATTGCTTTACATTTTCCTTTTTTGCTCATACATCGAAGAGTGGAATAAGCTGCCAGAACATCCTATCTACGTGAGCTCGCTATCGCAATTCCTGAGTGATGCTGAAGCGCTCCTGACATAGAAAAACAAGCGAAGGACCAGGGATGCCAAATTCAGGACATAGAAAAATATCTAACTGTATCGAAGCGCCACCACACACGCTTTCCCGCATTGATGTAAAGGCCTGGAAGGCGATCCCACCGCCATATGTTGGTTCAGAATCACACTAACCAAGGGTAAGGTTGCACCTTAACTGAGCGTTTCTCAATGCGGTCTACAACTTTCGAATTCCCACCACGGCCCTTAAACGAATAATTAAAAAGTTTGCTAACCAGTCTGAATTTGTAAAGTAACTAGGCGCACGAAAAAAAAAAAAAAAAATCGCGGACTTTCCTAAGACGCTCGCCAACAACATAGACGCAGTTGTTTTCACTCCAACAGAACGCTTTATTTTTTTGTCTTGACTTCAAACGTGAAAACATTTAATGATTCGTAAAACAGAACGGTAGATATGTTATTACAAGGGTGGCCTAAGCGCGGCTCGCGAGCCTCATGTGGCTCTTCTGAGCCCCGGCAACTACGGCTTGCAGCCCCCTGGTAACCCCGCCCCCCTTCCCACCAAAAAAAACATTTTTTTTAATAAAAAGGTAAGGCCTATAAAAAAAAGGCAGCTCGCGTTTTGTCAGCTTATTTTGCGCCGTCGTACGCACTTCTTACCAATGCGGAGCGCAAATTCGTCTGCTTCTTGCACAGCGGTAGCGATGATGTCAGAACGCCGAGCTCTTACTGGCTGGTTGAAAACAAATAGTGGGTAGACCTCAAGGCATCTGGCATTGAGGTCTGCCCACTCTCCTTTCAATCAAAGCCAATCAGAGCTCGGCGTCGTTCTGACGTCATCGAAACCCCCGCGCAACGAGCAGACCGACTTGCTCTCCGAATAAGAAAATACACCGAGACATCGCTTTTCACTTAAAATG